AAGTTTAACCCATGGCGGCACCGTCTATGAGGGTCAGGTGGCAGCTGAGCCGCCGCTGAATTTATTCACATGTCATCGCGATGGAATGTAAAAAATTCGGAGGATGGGCGGTTACGTTGTTCACTTTCCTAAGGCTCTTACCGACACTGTCGGGTGAAGAAGCCACAAGTTGAGAGTTTCTCGCTCTTCACTGTTTTCAGGATTCACTTTTGTCAATCGCGCCGCTATGATATGGAACGCGATGCAGATCCGCTCACCTCGCGGTTACATCTCAGCAGTGCGAGTTCCTAGCGTAACGACTTGACCATCCGAATCGGTATTTAACCTTGGTTAACATTTTATCCCAAATTGCTTGTATCCCTCCCTAACGACCCTTTCAACAATCAAAGTTGCTGACGGTTACAATTCACATCAATCGCTCTTACTTGCTTCAACAGCACGGATCCGAACGGTAATCCACGGCGCGAACTACGAACTCGACACATGTGCGTGAAACTCAAAAAATTATCTATACCAAATCCCCAGCTACACGGCTGTATGCGACATCAGATCTTCACGTTCGCAAGAAATGGTGGATGGCCCATTCAGAATGGGATTTGAGCAATAAATCGAGAATCTATCCAACAAGGGAAGGACCACAAAGATAGACGAAAGTTCACAAAACAAATATGTGAATGCCTCCGTCGTTATGAGATGAAGTCGAAATGGGGAAATTATACCGTCCCTTTTCCAAGTATCTTCTCAACAGCCGCCGCAGCATTCACGCGGCCGAAGGAGAGAGTCTTTTTTCCTTCACTGTCCGTGACACCTTTGGTGGCCGTATCCATAATGATACTCTTGATATAAGCAGGAGTCAGCTTAGTCTTCGCAGAAGGTTCAAGGCTGTAGAGCATCCCAGCTATACCTGCCACGATGGCGGCTGCACCCGAAGTGCCCGTACCGGCAGAATACAACCCACCAAGATCTGTGTCTAATATCAGATAACCCGGAGCGGCTATGTCAACAGCCGAGCCGAAATTACTCACGTCCTCAAGCCGCATGCCATCACCTGTGGCTGCAACACAGATGATTCCTTCCCTGTGTGGTCCCGGGGGGGGACAAGGATAGCGTT